AGAATCGATACTGAAGAAGACTCAGAAAGATATTGCCAACTTCCCTACAGATGAGGTTATTTCTTTCATCTCCTCTTTAAATGTGAAACTCTGTAAAGGAGTCCTAGAACTGGGGGCCTTATAAAACCTGCAGAGGATGGCAGTAGCTGCTTAAGGAATCGGGCTAAGCAGAAATGAGCACAGAGTCCTGATTCTCTGCCCCTGCTTCTCTCATGCTTCTGTAAATCCTGACATCTCACACAACCACTGGCCACCTGGGAAGCTAGAGTCAGGTGATCTTTTCTCTTATCAGAGACTTCAAGGGCTGGAAGCAGCAATGACTGGCCTTGGGTCTGCATAACAACTCCTAAAGAGAGCTCCTCCTGTCTCCTTTGATTGGCTGAGGTGGTTTACACCTGTAATCTCCAACAAGGAGGAAGCTGGAGGATCTTGAGTGGGAGACCAGCCTCAGCGACAGATCGACTCTGTCTCACAAAAATTAAGTCATTCAGATTCTTTCTGAAGTGCTCTGCTTTATGGTTACTCTTCAAAAGCAGTAGAAAGTCAGAGTGGGTCATTGCAAGGCCAGTATCAGATGACCGTGACTCCAGGGAAAGCTGGGAAACCATTTCCATGACCTCAATGGCCTTTTTCCCGGAGCTGAGACTAATGAATGCACTAATATCCCCAGCTTGAGCAAAAGCAAATTGAGCCCCACACTTGGAAAAAGCATTTTCTGCTGTTTCTCTAGCCAGCCTACAAGCTGTCACCTTTTAAGCCAGAGTCAGATTGTTCTGGCAACAAGACAAAGAGAATTTCTCCTAAAGGATGCCGGTGACTTGGCCCTGGGATCCCCTCCCCTCTGCCATGGGGTTCTAGATATTTGCACTTCCCTACAGAGAGACTTGACCCCCAAGATGGTAGGAAGTCCCCACAGAGAGCCCTGTTTTCGTAGCTTCAGATGTAGCCTCTCGTCCTAGTCCACTTCTGCCCTAGTAACAGCCACCTCAAATGCAGTTTTGGAAGCCATACAAGATAGCTAATTGTTTGTATTTGGACAGTAGTGTGTTTCGAGCTTACACATCTAAACAGACAATTATTCCCTGCTATTTGCTAGTGGTGCTGCCTGCCTAGGGATTTTGGCAGATGGAGAAAGGAGCTAATCCATAGGTTATAAGCAGAAGTGTTATTGATGAAATGTCACCATCTGTTGGTGTCATTAAAATGATATGAGTCATAAAGAGTTGCTTTTGGTAGTTTTTTTTTTCCTCAAAAAAAGGTTAGATTGGAGTTTAGAGAGAAGTTGCTAGATTATGGATGGCAAGGGGGGGGCGGGGGGGGGGAACAGAGGTAGGAGGGAGGCCAACCAAGGAGGAAGAGTTTGAGGAGCTCATCAGATGAGTGTAGAGTCTTCAGAAAAGTAGGTCCTCTGCAAGAATAAAACTTCTTGTCTTCTCTGGGCGCTGGTAGCTCACGTCTGTAATCCTAGCTACCCAGGAGGCTGAGATCTGAGGATCGCAGTGCAAAGCCAGCCTGGGGAGCAAAGTCTGGGAGACTCTTATCTTCAATAAACCACCAGAAAACCAGAAGTGGCGCTGTGTCTCAAGTGGTAAAGTGCTTGCCTTGAGCTGAAGAATGCAGGGACAACACCCAGGCTGAGTTCAAGTCCCACAGTGGACAAAAAAAAAAAAAAAACTTGTCTTATATAAGATGGGGAATTTGTAAAGAATGATAGCCAAATACCAGTGGCTCATACCAGTAATTTGAGCTACACAGGAAGCTTATGTCAGAGGACTGAAGTTTGGGGCCAGCCCAGGCAAAAAAGTCCATGAGACTTTTATCTCCAGTTAACTACCAAAAAGCCAGATGTGGAGCCATGGCTCAAGGCTAGAATGCTAGCCTTGAATGAAAAAGCTAAGGGACAGTGATCAGGCTCTAAATTCAAATCACAGTACCAGCACAAGGAAAGAATGATACAAGCTGTGCTGGCTGTCTCATGCCTATACTACTAAGGAGGCTGAGATCAGGAGGATCACAGTGTGATCCCCAGACCCCATCTCAACCACTAAAAAGCTGAGCATGGTGACATACAACTATCATTCCTGCTACTTGAGAAGAAGAAACAGAGAAATCTATCCAGGCCCACAGAAGATAAAAGCAAGACCATATTAAAAAATAATAAAGCAAAACATGCCAAAGGCATGATTCAAGTAAGTGATAAACCACCAGTCTAGCAAGCATAAGAGCCTGACTTCAAACCTAAATACTAACAAAAATATAAAATAATGATGTGGGCTCCAGGTTTAGTGGTGCATGCCTATATTCCTAATACTATCAAGTTCAAGGTCAGCCTGGGATTCTTAGCAAGACCTTGTCTCAAAAATATATAATAATAATAATAATAATGCAATACTTACTGTCTCCCATGCCCATTTCTAAAGTGTCTACCAGGGGAGGAGTGGAAGTAATTACTTTGGGTTAAACATACAAGAAGCAGCTTTACAAACTGTATCTGAAAGGCAGCAGTTAAAACACACCTGTTGCTGGGCTGCCAGTGCTTCACACCTGTAATCCTAGCTAGTCAAGAGGTTGAAATTTGAGGATTACAGTTAGAAGCCAGTCATGAAACTCATTTCTAATTAACCACCAGAAAACAAGAAGTGGCATGGAAAGAAAGAAAGAAAGAAAGAAAGAAAGAAAGAAAGAAAGAAAGAAAGAAAGAAAGAAAGAAAGAAAGGAAGGAAGGAAGGAAGGAAGGAAGGAAGGAAGGAAGGAAGGAAGGAAGGGAAAGAAAGAAAGAGAGAGAGAAGGAAGGAAGGAAGGAAAACACTTGTTTTCTGAACCCTCATTGACATACAGATTATTCTTGCTGCCAGCTGACACGCTGAGAGATGAGTGGGCCCCTAGCGAATGATTTGCTTTATCTGCTACATCATCTCAGAAAAAGGAGCAGTGGTTTGGAACAGAGACCAGAGCCAGCAACCAAACTTCCATCAGGGCTAGAAGCCCTGGGATTGGAGGAAAGACAGCAGTGAGCACATGGATTACATTAGCAAAAAGATAGACCATAGAAGGTGTGTGTTTAGTGATGACCCAGATGACCAAATCCCACTGCACCAGCCTTCTATTTCCACCTGTTAACCTGACCCCATCCCATGCCGAGGACACACACCCAAAGCAGAAGAGCTTATTCTCTTCACATATCTTTAACATGGCTTCAGATCTCTTTTCTATTAGTAGTATTTCAACTCATAGAGATGACTGAAGTCTGGATGATTGTTTAAACTACAATAGATCCTTCTGTCAGTCCTTAGGGTTTGCCAAATGAGTAGATAGAAAAGTAGCCTCACATTAGCCCTGACCTCTAGTTGAGTCCTTTACCCCTGAGCCATCTGGCCCAAGCCTGCCCTCCATATCACCCTCTTTGGGACACAGATGCTGGCAGGATCATGGCTGCTGTTCAGAAAGTGTGTGGTGCTGGGAGCCAGAGGAGCAGCAGGCAGGAGCTGCCCACGGGCAGAGGATCTCCGAACCCTGTGAGGCTCTTTCTAATGTCTAGAAAGGAAGCCTCCATGGAAAAGTTCTGTTGGTATTTTTAGATCTGATGCTTGGTCCTGCTCCTGCACTTTCATTTTTAAACAAGCAGGGGAGATGGTGATTGATGGGGTCTGCTATGCTTTTTTTTTGAGGCTCTGGGGGGCCCATCTGACAAGCTAATGGTCATCCTGCCAGGCCCAGATCACCTTTGGTCTCCTCTGGCTCAGAGACTTCAGAGCTGCTGACTATAGCCGCTGGCAACCATAACAGTGGCTGCCAGTTCAGACTCAGAAGCTTATATCCTGTTCTGAGGCCCGGTGCAGGGTCACTGCCCGGCTCTGCTGCTGTCCTCTCTTTCTCTCAGTTTTGACACAGAGGCTTGAATAATAAGCCTTTGGCTACAGGTGAAGTACTCTAGAATTCAACAAGTTTAGGCAGCCCCACATCAAAACTGTTGTTTCTTCCTGGGCCAGTGGGAAAGAATGAAGCTTTCTCAGAATTATTATGGAAATTACCAGGCACTGGTGGCTCACGCCTATAATCCTAGCCTATAATCTTAGCTACTCAGGAGACTGAGATCTGAGGATCAGAGTTTAAAGCCAGCTCAGGCCGGGCAGGAAAGTCTATAAGACTCTTACCTTCAATTAACCACCAGCAAATTGGAGGTGGAGCTGTGGTTCAAAGTGGTAGAGCGCTAGCCTTGAGCAAAAGGAGCTCAGGGACAGCTCCCAGTCTCTGAGTTCAAGCCCCACAAGCAACAATAAAAAATAAAAATTAGAATTATTAACCAAAGTGTTTCTGTAAGGAGCTGAAAATCAGTGGGAAGGAAGAAAAAAGGCGAGAAAGGAGGGAAAAAGGGAGGGAGGGAGGGAAGGAAGACATTTTCACTTTTATAAATGCTCTTCCAAGGATTCTGAATCTCATGATGCAGTCCTCAGGGAAGGAAGGAGGAAGATGAGAGCTGTCTCTCTGCAGATAAATTTCTCGCTAAAAGTTTGTGAGTAGCCAGTCAGTGGTAAATCCTTACTACTCGGGAAGCCGAGCTCTAAGGATCAAGGATCAAAGCCAGCCCAGGCCAAAAAAACCCCTAGAAACTCTTACCTCCCACTGACCAGCAAAAGACTGGAAGTGGAGGTGTGAGTCCAGTGATAGTGCCAGCCTTGAGCAAAGAAGAGAAGGGCCAGCCCCCAGGCCCTGAGTTCAACCCTGGTGTTCACGTGCACACGTACAAACACCAACACACAAAACAGTTCATGAGTAGTAAATGTAGCTCACGTCCAGTACTGAGAAGCTGAAAGGTGTCCAAACAAAAGAAAATTCTCAGTGCCCACAAATAAGCTGTTTCCCCCAGGACCTCAGACCAATGTGGCCATTTAAATCTAAAAAGTACCTGTAGTGTGCTTCCCTCCTTGCTGTGGTCTCGCTCTTGTAGCCTGTGTTACTCCCGTCCTTTTCATCTGTTTGTGTGTTATCTGTTTCTACAGCAAACCACAGAGACAGCTGAGGAGGAGGACAAGCCCCTCAGCCTGGCCTGGCCCACCAGTGCCCGCAAGCAGGTCACCTTCTTGATTGTTTTCCCCATTGTATTTCCTCTCTGGCTGACCCTGCCTGATGTTCGCAAACCTGTGAGTAAAAGCATTTTGGAAAATGATACCTTGTTTTTAAAGAAAATGGGGGGGAAAACATGATATTTTGTTTAGTCTGCTTCTGTTCGTGTTAAAGGAGAAAGGGAGGTAGCACAGATGCATGTGTATTCCTCTGTATTTGGTACACATAATCATAGTGATTATTCATACCAAACCTGTATAACAAGCCGCCCTAGAACATCATGATAGGAAACAATCACAATTCTATTCTGCGCATGGATACTGCAGATCAGAGATTGCAATAAGGCCCAATGGAGCTAGATTGTCTCTGTTCTAATGTTGGGGATCACATGGATGGGAAGACCTGAATGACCAGGGAAGGCTCACAGCTGAGGATCACCAGGGACCAAAGCCTGCCCCCAGGAAAAAGGAAGGTCCTGTCTGAAAAATAACTACAAAGCAGAATGGACAGAGGGTATGGCTAAAGCAGTAGTCTTGCCTAGCAAGACCCTGAGTTCAAACCCCAGTACTACCAGAAAACAAGAAACTAGGCAGGGATCAGAAAGAAAGTAGAGAAAACGATCAATTCTTAGATATTTGTTTCTCCTCCTATAGAGCCTGTCAGCTCTGTCAGTTTGTCTTACGTAATTTTATTTATATCAGTGCTTTTTAAAAAAAAATATTCATGAAGAGGAAGATCCTAAACTTTACCAATAATTATAAGGAAAATGACTGTATACTTATAGTTTCAGAGTAAATAGTACTCCCAATTTGTATTATTTCTAGTTCATTTATATGCAAATTATATGGCAGTGTTTATTGGGCTCAGATAATTAACAAGAGCATTACATTTGTAGATTTCTTAGATTAAAAGAACTGAAGTGTTAACCTTAAATAAAAGACTATGTTTTTGGTAAAAGGTGAAACTAGTAAGCAAAATAAAGGCCACCCAAGTCATCTTCTCTTATATCCTGGCATGGAATACATCTAATGAAATATAAGCACAGGACTTGTTAGAGCTAGAAAGGAGCCTGAGAGCCCAAGGAAGTGTTCAAATTTTCTGTTATTAGCTGGGCACCGGTGGCTCACGCCTGTAATCCTAGCTACTTAGGAGGCTGAGATGTGAGGATCATGGTTCAAAGCCAGCCTAGGCAAGAAAGTCCATGAGACTTTTTTTTATTGTGAAAATACTGTACAGAGGGGTTACAGTTACCTGGGCAAGATAATGAGTACATTTCTTATCAAGCATTGTAGCCCCCTCCTTTGTTTCCACTTCCCATCCCATCTTCCTCCCACCCCTCCACCCAACCCTCCTCCCCACCCCCACATGAGACTCTTATCTCCAATTAACCACCAGAAAACTGGAAGTGGCGCTGTGGCTCAAGTGGTAGAGCGCTAGCCTTGAGCTAAAGAGCTGACAGACAGCGCCCAGGCCCAGAGTTCAAGACCCACGACCAACAAGAAAAAAAAAAAATTCTGTTATTTACCAAGTTTTTGTCTACTTCAAGACAGGCAGATTGAAGTGGCTGAGCCCAGGTGAGCATAGTGACTTGTCTAATCACACTCCAGTAAGAGACAACATTAGGACTCCTGCCCAGGTCTCCACAGTCACTCTCACCTCCCTAAGTAATAGTTTCCTCATCTCATAAAAACCATAATAAGGCAGTCACTAGTAGCTAGCTACTCAGAAGGCTTAGATCTAGGAGCACAGCTCAAAGCCAGCCTAGGCAGAAAAGTCTATAGATTCTTATCCCCAATAAACAGCAAAAAGTGTCAGAAGTAGTTATATGGCTTAGTGTCAGCCTTGAGTCAAAACCAAGTATGAATGTGAAGCTCTACAATACCAGTCCCCCTCCCCCCAAAAAAATCCCAAATGAAGCTAACACTGTATATAACAACTACACTTGTTATCTGAGCACTTGCTATGTGCTAGCCATTTTATGAACAGGAAATCATCAGAACAACTAGATTTTTGGAATTACTTTGAGTTTACAGATGAAGAAACCAAAAACTTAACAAGGTTAAAAAAAAAATTGCTAAACACCAGTGGTAATTTGTAAAGAGATTTCAATGCCAGTCATATTAACCCCAAGACCACACTTTTAGTCTTAAAAGAAGTGTTTGGGGGAACTTTGTTCAATATGTATACTTCAAGGAGGGTGCAGTGGTAACCACCTGTAATCTCAGCTGCTCAGGAGGCTGAAGCAGAAGGATCATGAGTTTGAAACCAGGGTTGAGCACCTAGCAAAGGCAATTATCTCTCCTGCTATATTTTGAGTGACAAAGAAATGTGTATTTCAGAACCTTGCACAGAATAGCTACTCAGTGACTTGTATTGAATTTAAATCAGTAAGGATGTGATCATCTTTGATGATCACATTTTTTCAAGCCAATATCACTCTGATGTACTGAAAGCTTGTAATGAGAACATTCGCTGCCGCTTGTAAAGTATACCATTACACTGGAAACAAAATTGAAAGCACATGGACACAATTTGCTCATTTGCTAATTAGTAGGAGTCCTAGCCCAACAGATGTCAGAATGAGCCGCCATTACTGACCACAAATTGATGTGCTAGGCCTTGGCTTCCACAGGCTAATTTCTCCTTTCCAATGAGACTGGTAGCTCCATAACTCTAGGTGCTCCAGGACAATGTGTCTGAGTGTCAGACTATAGAGTCCAAATAAGGAGGAAGTGGTTCAGACAAATCTAAAAGAAGGTTGTGAGATTAGGCCTGGAAAGATAGTTTGATAGGGAAACGGCCAGACTGTGGATGCACAAAGGGTTGAAACTTTCCAAGCGAAAACAATATGGGAGGTTGAATGAGGCAGATGGCCATACAGCTGGAATGCTGGTCTCTGTTTCCCTGATGCTTTTTTTATTTCTGACATTCTGAGCCGAGCCTCGTATTATGATGATGACACTCATTATGTCTACGGCTGGGTATATTTTGAGCATTATTAGTCCTGTTTTTCTTTAGGAAGTCAGGATGACATACATGTTTGAAGCACAGGCTGTACTATCAGGCAGACCTGCAGTTGAATTTCATCTCTAGTTCAAGATGTGGCTACTGAGTTGTTGCCCCAACTTTATCAACTCCTAGTTTATGTGAAGACTCTGAAAATTCATAAAAAGAATTTTATTCAGTGTGTGTGTGTGTGTGTGTGTGTGTGTGTGTGTGTGTGTGTGTGTGTGTGTGTGTACTGGACCTGAGGCTTGAACTTAGGGCCTGGGCTAATACTCTACCACTTGAGCCACATCTCCACTTCTGACTTTTTGGTGATTAACTGGAGATGAGAGTCTCATGGACTTTCCTGCCCCAGCTGGCCTCAAACCATGATCCTCAGATATCAGCCTCCTCAGTAGCTAGGATTATAGGCATGAGCCACTGGTGTCTGGCTTATATTTACACTTTTTTGAATGAGCCTCTTGTGCAATATGAGGTACTGTTGGTACCTATTAATTACTTTTGATTTTTTAATTCAGTCCTTTAAATCTTTAGTTTGATATTTCCTTCCTACCTTTTGACTGAGAATGATGTAAAGTTCTCAGTGATGAGAAATAAGTTCAGATATTTGATTCTAACTTGGAAAATCATTTTTCAATGGACAAACTTCTGATCTGGGTATGCCTTTAATCCCAGCCTTAGGGAGTTTAAAGTATGATCCGAAGTTCTTAGACAGGCTGGACTAAAAAGTGAGATATTGCCTCGGGGCGAGGGGGCAGGCACCATGTAGTAAATGAACTAATCTAGACAGTTAGGAATCTGTGGGAAAAACCTCTCTCAGGCCAGATGCCACGTCAAGTAGGGCGGGACTCTGCCTTATGGAATGATGCTCAGAATCAAGTCTGGCCAATGCTCTAATCACTTATTGCCTTGCATGGCAAGAGGGGCCCTTCTCTTCCTTGTACTTGAGCATGACTCCTGATATAGGGAGCCTCAATATAAATGAGCATTCTGAGGTGATAGCTAATGGCCAAAGGGAAAACTAAGAAGTCCAGTCAGATAAACTCCTTGCCTAGGAAAGCAAGGTATCTAATCTCTAGAATCCAGCCAAATTCCCAACTTTAAAGAAATCTGCTCTGAGTCAAGGTCTGAGGGAAGGTCTGAGTCACAACTTTGAAAACTTAATAACTTTTTTTGTGTGCCACTCCTGGGGCTTAAACTCAAGGCCTAGATGTTGTCCCTGAACATTTTTGCTCAAGGTTTATATTCTACCATTTGATCCATGGCTCCATTTCTGGCTTTTATTCATGATTAGCTGATGATCAGAGTCTTATGGACTTTCCTGCCTACACTGACTTTCAAACATGATCCTCAGATCTCAACCTCCTGGGCAGCTAGGATTACAGGTGTGAACCACCAATGCCTGACTAATGCTTTTTTTTTCATTTTTATCATTTCCTGTTAAAGTACTTAGATCCCTGGGAGGAACTAAGTCCCTGTCTAAACTATTTTAGGGAAGGAGCATGAGGAAACAAGCCCTGATTCCCTCTCCCAATTTAATCAAGACTGCTCAGCCTACTAGACATCTCAGCTAATAAATAGCTCCTCAAACTGCCACATTTAAAGAGAAAAGATTGTTGCAAAATTTAAGGACTGTGTGCATAATACTTTAAAAAATAACTAAAGAGGTGAAATTTAAAAAATTTAAAATGGGGACTAGGAAGTTGGCTCAGTGGTAGAGTGCTTGCCTCACATGCATGAGGCCCTGAGTTCAATTCCTCAGCACCACATAAGCTGGGGAAAAAGCCTGAAGTGATGCGGTGGCTCAAATGGTAGGGTGCTAGCCTTGAGCTGAAGAGCTGAGGGACAGTGCCCAGGCCCAGAGTTCAGCCCCCACAACCGACAAAAATAAATAAATAAATAAGAGCAAAAGAGTAGACTGGAAATATTCAAAATCTCTTCTTCTAATGAAGTTTCAAAAGCCATGGCACAAAATGTCCTGTGTGACAGTCCCACGACATACCTTTAGACAATCAGGTCTATTTTGTGGTTCATTTACCCAGACAAAACTGGATAGCATTATCAAAGCAAAACATGGGATTATTCTTCAGCACAGAAAGCTTTCAAATAAAGGGGCTGGGAAGGTGGCTCAGTGGTAGAGCACTTGCCTTGCATGCCTGAGGCCCTGGGTTCGATTCCTCAGCACCACATAAGCAAAAAGAAAAAAGCCAGAAGAGGCATTGTGGCTCAAGTGGTAGAGCGCTAGCCTTGAGCTGAAGAGCTGAGGGACAGCGCCCGTGCCCAGAATTCAGGCCCCACGACTGGACTCAAAAAAAAAAAAATTGATCAAATAAAAAGGTTTTGGTGATAAATAGTGACAAGCTCTCTGACAGCATTCTGCTGGTTTGGGCATGTTTGAGAAGAGTTCAAGTTTTCCACAAAGGATATCAACAGAACCCCCTGTACAAGGCTGGATTTTCCGTAAGTGGTATGTGATGAGAAACACAGCTTTTGTGTGTGTGTGTGTGTGTGTGTGTGTGTGCTGGTCTTGGGTCTTGAACTCAGGGCCTGGGCACTGTCCCTGAGCTTTTTTGCTCAAGGCTAGCACTCTGCCACTTCAACCCCAGCTCCCTTTCCAGATTTTTGCTGGTTAATTGGAGATAAAAGTCTCACAGACCACCTGGGCTGGCTTCAGACCACAATCTGGAGTAGCCAGTATTACAGTCATAAACCACTGGTGGTTTTTTGGGGGGGAAGGGTGAGGGGGGCAGTCCTGAGGCTTGAACTCAGGGTCTAGGCAACATCCCTGAGCCTCTTTGTGCTCAAGACTAGTGCCCTATGGCTTGAGCCACAGCACCAATTCCGGCTTTTTCTGAGTAGTTTATTAGAGATAAGAGACCTACAGACTTTCCTGCCTGGGCTGGCTTCAAACTGTGATCCTCAGATCTCAGAATCCTGAGTAGCTAGGACTACATGCATGAGCCACCAGCACCCATCTGGCCTTTTTTTTTTTTTTAACACCACATTTTATGTGTCTGATTTTTTGTTGATATTCCTAGGAAACTTTGAAATGTTCACACAATATGTAAGCTTGAAATTGTACAAAGTCCAAAGCTAGAAACAGAATTGGACTTTTATATAGTTTAGAGTAGAGAACAGAAGAGAAAACAATGTGCAGAACAATGTCTGACATACCCACCTCCCAGTGCAGATGTTCCAACTGGACATCACTGCCACTGTCTTCGCCAGCTGATTTGTGGCTACCATGTCCTAGCAAACAGCAATCTATCACCAGCAATCTCTGTAAGAGCTGGAGTGTGATCATCTCACAGGACTGTTGTGATGAACCAACGTATTCTTAAACCTACTCATCAATCTCCTTTCTTTTTTTTTAATTTTTATTTATTTTTTATTGTGAAAATACTGTACAGAGGGGTTACAATTACATGGACAAGATAATGAGTACGTTTCTTATCAAGCATTGTAGCCTCCTCCTTTGTTTCCCCTTCCCATCCCTTCCCATCCTCCCCCCCCCCCCCGCCTCCCCATGCAATCCTCCCCGCCCCCCCTCATTTCTTTTTAATGTAGTTAATTACACAGAGTTGGACCCATGGATTATTAGAATACATGGTTTGAAAGCAGTAGAAACAGATTCTGACAAACTTGAAAGCAAACAAAGAAAGAGGAGGAGCTAGAATGATAATATGAGATAGTTACGAGACTGGAGTGCAGGCTGAGAATCCAGGCCTTGGATAGAGAAGAAATAGAGCACATCTGGGCATCTAGCAGAAGGAAATAACAGATGCTCTATTTAAGAGACTTCTAGCCTGGGAACCAACATTGTGATCACTCAGCACCCACCACCTTCATACTTCCAAGAGAGAATTTTACTGTTTTTATTTGACCCAGGGTATGTAGGGCCCTTTGATTGCTAAGACTACTAAGATGAAGTAGGGGAGAATCATACAAGGTTTCAGTTCTGGGCTGTCAGATCGCCTCTGTTGGTAGCCCTGACTCTCTCTCTCTCTCTCCTCTTCTGCTTTGTGCAGTCATCAAGGAAGTTCTTTCCCATCACGTTCTTTGGTGCCATCACTTGGATTGCGGCATTTTCTTACTTGATGGTCTGGTGGGCACACCAGGTAAGACCTTGGCAGCAACACCTGTCTGTCTGGTTTTTCTCTAACCTTGGTTACCAAGTGGTTAGTCAATGTGTTTGTTTTCTGAAACTCACAATGACAAGAGTACAACACAGACAAGTGTCACATTGTAGAACTGAACTTTTCCTTAGTCTCCAAGTCTTTCCCTGTGGGTAGGAATTAAGTTGGCATAGCCACAGGAAAGCCATGGAGAGGAGGCTAAGCCTGACTGTTGTCAGCTCTGTGTAGATAAAGCCAGGAATGTCAAGATTATATCTGGCTCAGTGACATGAACTTTACCTTGCACAAGTCATTCAGTTTGGCTCTCAGCATTTAAAACTGGCTGTCAAGAGTGAGGTGCTAGGGCTGGGAGGGTGGCTCGGTGGTAGAGTGCTTGCTTTGCATGCATGAGGCCCTGGGTTCAATTCCTTAGTACCACATAAGCAGAAAAAAACAGAAGTGGCACTGTGGCTCAAGTGGTTGAGTGCTAGCCTTGAGCTGAAGATTCAGCTTATAATTCTAGCTACTCCAGAACCTGAGATCTGATGATCTTGAATTAAAACCAGACTAGGCAGAAAAGTCTGTGAAACTCTTATCTTCAGTTAACCCAGGAAAAAGCCAGAAATGGAGGTGTGGCTCAAATGGTTCTGTGCCAATCTTGAGTGAAAAAGACAAGAGAGAGGGCAAGGCTCTGAATCCAAGCCCCTGCATTGGCAGTAATAATAATAATAACAACAACAACAATAAATGGCTCTCAGGAAAGGACCTAGAGATCAAGTGGCCTCTTTTTTGTGTGTGTATGTGTCAGTCATGGGGCCTGAATTCTGAGCCTGGGCGCTGTCCCTCAGCTCTTCAGCTCAAGGCTAGCGCTCTACCACTTGAGCCACAGTACCACTTCCGGCTTTTTCTGCTTATGCAGTGCTGAGGAATCAAACCCAGGGTCTCATGCATGCAAGGCAAAAACTCTACCACTGAGCTACTTCCCAGCCCAAGTGGCCTCTTCTTGAGTTTCAACTTATAAAATTAATAATGCTTTCACTCGGTACCAGTCAAATGCCTATCTAGAGAAAATGTCAGTAATTGTGGTTAGAACAGATGAATGAAAGAAATTAGATACAAGGTTTTCCCATTCTCAAGAATCAAAGTGGTGGTGATTATTAATTGAGCATGTATATGTTAGACAGTTCACATCCCTTTGTCTTTATACCTTTGATATTAACTCTGTACATATGTCCAAGTCCTATGAGGGAAGCATATTACTATCTGTGACATAAAGATAATACAGCTTAAAGCTGATCAGAGCCTTGCCCACAATTATCTACATAGTAAATAGCAGAACTGAAGAACCTAACCCAGGTTTCCGCAACTCCAAAATTCATGCCTTTGATCTCTACTATATACTACATCAACTCTGAGCTGCCCACTTGTATCCTTTGTTTAATATAGTCCTAAAATTACTATAACTTGTTAACATAAATGAAATGTAGCAAGTTGAAATAAGGAAATATATAGCAAGAACATATGTGGATAGACTCTTCAACAAATGGTGCTGGAATAATTAGATTTCCATATGCCAAAAAAAGTGAACTTAGATCCTTACTTCAGACCGTGCTCAAAAATGAACTCAAAGTGGATCAGCGTTCTAAATGTGGAAACTACAACTATCAAACTTCCAGAAGAAAGCATTTAAAAAGAATCTGCATGACCCAATTTGATCCCTGAGCCCTTCCTCCTCCCTCTGGTTTGCCAAGTCAGCTTCAAGGACAAGTTCTTCCAAGAGAAAAGCCCATGGAGACTGCTTCAGAAAAGTTGTTAGAGCCGTATAGTTTCATTGGATGGTTAAGACATAATGAAAAGTCTCCATTATTCATGGCATTTCACACATTGTAGATTGACACCAGTCAACAACTTCTATACCCATTCACCAAATTCTAGCTGTTATGGTCAAATAATTTGGAGAGGAAAAGGAATAATATCTGAGTTATATAGCTATCATTTACCTTATACCTTACACTGTGCTGTTTGCTTTACAAGCATCATCATAGATAAGCATCACAACAACCTTAGTGGATATTATCATCTTCTTGCAGATGGGAACAATTTGGGTGGTTGGCTTGGTGAGGAATCCAGGATGATCAATGTCCCCACCCAGAATCTTTAACCACATCAGCCTATTTCTCCTCTTTGGCTTTTGCATTTCTCCATCTGTAGCAACATTTAAATTCCAAATTATAAGTGGTTTGGAAAATAGTTACTACTTTAGAGCTCCCTCTCAGAGTTCAAATTATTAAGAATGTGTGAAATAGATTGGAACTTTGTTGGAGTGACAATCATTTAGTCAGCATTTTTATCATATTTGACATTTCACTCCAAATCTAACAACAGCAACAACAACAAAATAAAAATCAAAGAGAATAATTTGCTCAGGTAGGCCAGTCTATTTCCCTACTTCCTAGGGAAATTAGCTACATGTGCAGATTGAGTTGTTCATGAGCAAATAGATGGTCAAAACCTACTCTGAACTAGATTATGCTGTGTATAAGAGACATCCCATCATGACCAAGGCAAAGACCATGCTGGCGGAGGTAGCACTTATTTTCTGATGGATCTGTATACAATGAGAACAGGGCAAATTAAGTCAGCTCACCAACTCTGAAGCAGCATGACTATCAAAACAAAAACAGCTCACACTGAGGCTTTTATGCTAGTAGAAACCCAGATGTTCCTTATCTATCAAACAAAAAATGGTTGAGAGACAAATGTGCTCTAGTCCATAAAAACTTTATCCTTCTATACCCTTTAAATCATCTCAAAATTTTAACCCTTTAAATTTTTTTAACTCTGGATGTTATCGTGTAGGTTTTGTTAGAAAACAAATAGTATTATTTTCTCATTTTTCAGAACTGCAGTTCATCGATTCCAGAATATATAGCTTTTGAAAGGTCCAACAAGACAATCAAGTTTCTCAGGAGAATGGAGGCACTTCTAAGCAACAATTGTACAGGAACAGTTAGCAATAGGTCAAGAACATCATAAATACCAAAGCCAATCCCAGGCTGTTACTTTTCCACGGTTACTCTGAAGATTTTCAGTTTCACATCACCAAACTGAATACACCCAAACACAAGGTTCCTGAAGAAATAGTAGTGACTAAAAGTGTTTATGAGTACCACAGACAATAGGAGATACTAAGGAAAAATGGAGACAGTGGGTGTTAACCCTTAAACTCTGATGGAAAATGGAAGGGTAAATCTGGCCCCTGGATTCAAAGGCCAGTTGGCTTTTGTAACTCTGATATTGTAGGTTCCCTGGCTCAGCCATAGAAAATGCTCTATGGTGTCTGTACTTGAGCCCTCTATAGCTCATTGCTATTTGAGATGTTCTATTTAATCCTATGTGCTTGTGGCTGACTTAATGGATCTGACGTCATAAAAGTGAGGCGATGATTGTCACTTATTCATCCCATTCATCTCAGCATTCAACACAACATAGGAGAGGAATTCATTAAAAGGGATTGCATTGAAATATTTGTTTATCCTTGTTGTAATGTTTAGGTTGGAGAGACAATTGGCATTAGTGAAGAGATTATGGGTCTGACCATCTTGGCTGCTGGAACCTCCATCCCTGACCTTATCACCAGTGTCATAGTAGCCAGGAAGGGACTGGGGGACATGGCCGTGTCCAGCTCTGTTGGAAGCAATATTTTTGACATCACTGTAGGGTGAGTAAACCTATAAATCTAAAATCTATAAATATGCATGCCACTTCCATCCCTTCCATTGTTCAAGAGATTATGAATTTATGATCAGACTCTCTGAAGACAAAACACAACAATATTCAGCTCAACAAGTTAAGACAAGGGGTATCATTCAGTTTCACTAATTCTATTTTTCACTTTCAGAGAACTTAATGAAGAGTAAGTCATTCCTAGACAGGCAGAAACACATACCTTCCTATAGAGTGAGTGTTTAAGAAAATAGGGGTGGGGCTGGGAAAGTGGCTTAGTGGTAGAGAGCTTGCCTTGCATGCCTGAGGCCCTGGGTTCGATTCCTCAGCACTACATAAGCAAAAAGAAAAAAGCTGGAAATGGCGCTATGGCTCACGTGGTAGAGCACTAGCCTTGAGCTGAAGGGCTGAGGGACAGCGCCCAGGCCCAGGCCCAGAGTTCAGGCCCCATGACTGTACCCAAAAAAAAAAAAAAATAGGGGTATTAGAAATGAACTATACAACTTGGGGAGGAGGAAACAGGGTTAGGAGGGAAAAAACTGGGAGAAAATGAGGGAAGCGGGTGACACTGTTTGGAAAGAAAGGTACTCATTACCTGACATATAACTGTAACCCCTCTTACATCACTTTTACAATGGCTAGGTGCCAGTAGCTCATGCCTATAATCCTAGCTACTCAGGAGGCTGAGATCTGAAGATCACGGTTCAATGCCAGCCTGGGTAGGAAAGTCCGTGAGACTCTTATCTACAATTAACTAACAGAAAACCAGAAATGGCACTGTGGCTCAAGTGGTAGAGCACTAGCCTTGAGCTGAAGAGCTCAGGGCAGCATCCAGGCCTGGAGTTCAAGCCCCACAACTGACCAAAAAAAAATAAAAGAAAGAAAAGAAGGAAACTTTGCTTCCATAACTGCATTTACTATATGCAATAAGTAGGTGCTATTTGAGCAGGACTGAAATGCTTTGGTAGTTTCTCAGTATTTTTTGTTTCAATATTCATATTCTATATTACCAGCCCCAGGTAAGAATGGCTTTTAAAGTAAATTGGGATAAACACAAGCCAAATACAGACATCCTACCTCTTTGCTTGGAAATTTCTGGCAGTCTTGTTATTATCATTGCTTCCGCTGTGACTCTGATACTCAAAGTTTTTGTTTGTTTGTTTGTTTGGGGTTTTGTTTTTGAAAAACACCCTGCTAAAACTGAAAATCCCTTAGTTCTGCAGAAAACTAGCTGAGTCAGCATCTTCCCAGCCAATATTCTCCATCATTAGGCTCAATAGTTAGAACCAATTACTTTTGCTCAGCCCCTAGGAAGACCCATACCATTAGGCCACATTTCTCTCCCAGGGTCCTGATTAATTCCCATGATGCTCCTGGAAATTGTCTTTCCCGGTGTAGTTCGGAATTGTCACTCTGCTTAGGGAACAAAATCTATTAGTAGACTTTAAAAAAATCAAATGAAGGGGAAGAAATCAGGTGTACTAAGGGATACTAATACATCATAAAATTGAAAGAAACAGATTATAAGTGTAAGATACTGTTTTCTTTCTTTTCTTTTCTTTTTTAGGACCAAGACCAGGTTTCCAACTCAGTACCTGATGCTTTCATTCATTGGCTCTACCAACTGAGCCATACCTCCGACCGCACACTGTTTTCTTTCAATCTTTCAGAAAGGCCTTTTTTTTTTTTAAATCAAGATTGCCAACCTCTTGGCCTAGGGTTGTAGCTCAGTGTTAGAGCACTTGCCTAGCATGCACAACATCCTGGAGTTGATGGTTGGCACTGGAAAAAAAATTGTCAAGATTTTTTCCAGAAAAAAACCTTCAGTCTATGTATTGATATCATGGCCCCCCCATCACTATGCCAATTCCCTTGCTTTTAGATTGTTAGTTCATTGATATCCTATGTTTCGACTTTTTTTATTTTTTTTATTTTGAAGGTAAAATTAATTGAATAATAATTCATTAGAATAAGCAACCACAGTCATGTCAATACAAATGAAAAGTATCATGGAACACTCTTACAAGTAAGACATGAGAGAAAACAAATCTTAAATACTGTCAGAAAAAAAATCTTTTAATCATTAACATCTTCCACAGCAAAACCTTCTTTATATATATGTTTATATATATACATTTTGTATGTATATATACACACACCCATTTGTATATACATTTTTCTGATTTGGGGAGGAAAAGGGAAATAACAAAATGCTGAAATAAGGTTACAGGTTGACCCATTATACCAATGAGATGTACAAGACACTATGTTGAAAACGAACTTTACAACTTTGGGGGCGCAGAGGGAGGGGTTGGGGAGGTGGGACAGGAAGGGATGGTAGGGGATAAACAAGGGAGGGGTAACAATGCTCGATAGGAAATGGACTCATTACCTTACTCATGTAACTGTAACCCCTCTGTACAGAATTTTTTTTTAATTTTCTACCACTCATTCTATACCTTCTCTCCATTGTTTTCTCTTCCCCTTCCCTTGCATAAATCCTTCAATTCACCTTCCCAGGGCTGAGAGCAATATTTCACTCGCTACTTTTTCCATGTGTTAGATGTATTATCAAATACCTTCTTGGCCATGTCTGATTGTCCATCACTGTCTAACCACCTCCCCCTGCTCTGCCTTTTACTCTCGCAGGCTCCCCCTGCCCTGGCTCCTTTACAGCATCATTCACAGATTCAAGCCAGTGACCGTCAGCAGCAATGGCCTCTTCTGCGCTATTGTCCTTCTCTTTATCATGCTGCTCTTCGTCATCCTCACCATTGCCCTCTGCCGATGGCGGATGAACAAAGTCCTGGGCTTCATCATGTTTGGTCTCTACTTCGTATTCCTGGTGATCAGTATCCTCCTAGAAGACAAAGTTCTCCTGTGCCCTGTCTCCATCTAGTGGAAAAGCCATATCTTAAATCAATAGCATGGATGGAACCCTCCTGCTCTGGGCTCTAGGCTCCTCAACCTCTTGAAGAAGCAGTTGACACACAGCGCTGGGAACCAAGTGGCCCTCCTTATTGGATGGGAGGAAGATGGCTACTCATTAGACCTTCCCACTTCACAGGCTGCTTCACCCTTGCCTACTTAGAAACAAAGAAAACCGAGGCTTCTCTCCATTTACCAATGACAGGTACTCCTCGCTGGTCGGAGGTACATCCGTTATAATGATGCAAACAAGGACAGAGGCTATATATATGTATATGTATGCATATAAAATATACATATTATAAATATATACACATGAATACACAGATTTTGCCTGCTCCTGTATTATACCTCTCCTTCCATAGAAGAATACATAACTGTACACAAATACAAAGAAAGAAAAAGTTATATATATATAGATAGATATATATATAACCACATATACATATTAAGTACACATGCATCTTTTCAGGGATAGCTCTAGTATATTTATAGTACCTATTTGAAGAGGGGCATCAACCTTTAACCTTCAATCTGGTCTTTACCTCTCAAGGTGAATGAATGGAATCAATAGACAAAAGTGACATTGTTGAGCTTACTTGGTCCTGTCTAGTAAAGTGGATGGTTGAGGGAACTAAATTGCATGGAAGATGGTTTAAGAGAGAAAAAAATGTAATGACCCCTCCAAAACATTTCCACAAGCCAAACAGGGAAGACTGTCTGCCAACCCCAATGGGGGTACAGTGACTGAGACCACTGGTTCCTTAGGACTATAGTTGTGAAACCCAGACTGGATAAATACTGGTTTGGGGGTAAGAGAAAGTTGACTAGGATTGGATTATTTTATTTTCCTTATATTGCCCCAGCATGCAAGTAGAAAATATGATTGCAAGCCAAATTAGTGCTTTTCTAGGACAAGCAAAACTATATAAACTGAACCTATATTGTTCCAACAATGCATGTCCCATTGTCATCAAAAGAAGGAGGGCAATTTTAGCTGTGATGTCATTTAGACATATTTTGATGCTAAGGGCTCACACATAGTCAAAAATGCCTGCCAAGAGAGCCTAAATGTGCGATGAGAAATACCATTCAGTAGAGGTGCTCAGCAGGACTTACCACCTAATGGGAATATAAGGCAAAGCTCCTTAAAGCATCTCCCAATGTGGTTATAAAGGGCTTCAGTGTCTAAGAATCATTACTCCCAATAGATCCAAACTAGCTCGATCAGTACTGCCTAATTGGAAGCAGTTTTGGAATGTTTGCAGAGGCATTAGCCCATTTGGTACACCCAGGAGGTTTCAAAGTCCTGTGCCAAGGATTTGGTTAAGCCCATGCCACATCTATGTCTCTCTCCCATCAGAAGAGAACTTCCTGTTTTTCTTCATTTTTAGAGTTCATTGGAGACTATATGCCACAATTTCGTTACACTGTCAAGACTGTCACTGGCACATTTTGATTTATTAATTGTATTGACCTCACTTCATTCAGTGCTCCTAAATTCTGTTTGATACCTTGTGTGATTTCTCAGGTCTATTTCAATAGAAAATAAAATGGTAGAGTGGGAGAGGACTAACTAAATTGATTTTAATACATGCAGAATTTTTCACTTCACCAAGTCATTGTTTCCTTAAAATTTAAAAAAAAAAAAGTGTAGCCTCTATAGATTCTTCTGTACTCACCCTACCTGTAAGTTGATATACATCCTATATGGAGAATTTCACTGCACGTGTTCATGTCTCTAGTCTGCTCTATAGCTGATGGCTGCCATGACTGTGTTGTGAGCACCCACACCTTTAAACAGGGCAGCAGGATGCAGAACGCACAGTGGAATAAAAAGATCAGATGACCTCATCAAGCTTACTATTCCTGCCAGAGAACTTTCAGCTCACTTAAATAGCATGACAACACCAAGCAGTGTCCCTGCCCCTGAGGAAAGAGAAATCAAGATGGCTGCCACCTAGCCAATTAGCTTTCAAGTCTCTCCAACTGTGTAATCTTAAGTTTTCAAATGTGTGAAGAAAAAAAACAAACTAACACATCTCATTCATCAATGCAGGACTTGGTATTGAGGTAAACATTTGGGCTGACTTCTTATCACAAAAGATAAAAAGGAAGTGGACTGTGAGTTTTTAAATTCTGTTCTTTGCCCTATGGTTTGCTAGAAGAACAACACATTTGGTTGTTGGATAAATTCTGTATTGTTGACTGGTTTATTGTCTTGAAGGGTAAACTCAGCTACAGATAGATACATAAAGTAAGAAAGGTTGCAGGATATCTGGATGGTGTCCTGTTCTTATTTCTGCACTTCCTGATGCTCCCCCATCTCTTATTCCTTCCCATTCATTCCAAGCTCACAGGGAAGACTGGCAAGAAAGCACTTTCCTTACCTAAGATTGGGGAGCTGTGCTCCATAGGAAGTGTTATGATCTTTAATGAAAAGCAAAACAATAACAGTCCTATCCAGCCCTGTCCATGATATGGGGTGAGCATGGCCCATGGTAAGCTGTGCCCTCTCCCTCCCTTATTGCCCTTGCTTTCCCCTACTCTGAGTACATGCTTATGTGTTAGCCCATAATCATTTACCTAATTACAAAAAATACTTTCCATGTCATGGTTTTCAAGGTCAGTCATTTTTAATCCTTTTTCGGCTCTTGTGTTCAGGTGTGTCTTTGAGTGTATGTGCACCAGATCTGTATGTACACAAATGTCATTATATCATCACATTCAATCTCATTCTGAAATCTAAACCAGAGAGCATCAAGTTTGCCAAAGTCAAGGAAAAGTCATTCACATCAACCATTTCTTCCTGATTTCATAAGGTTGATTTATTCTACACACATAAACGTATACATACACATACATACCCATAATTTCCAGACTCCAGAATATAGATTTATAGTCTTAAAGAAAAGGCCAACCACATTCCTAATGCTAAGCTAGAGGTAAAGTATATGCCACAGAAAGCATGGAGAAAAGTTCCAACTACAGGTAGTCTCTTTCTTCTCTGGAAAAAAAAAAGGTATTAGCTAATATTAAAATTTAAGTCACTCTAAAATAAAGGATTTGTACTCAAATTGTTTCTTGCTGTCACCTTGCTATGACTTGCTGTCATACAAGGACAAGAGAACAAGTTAATCAAGCCAAGAGGTTTAAAACAGAAACTCCTAAATTGCATCTGAGAATGCCCACGACATGCCCAGCCACCCTGTGGACCTGATTAGTTCTTGATGAAATGAAACACAGGGGCTAAACACAGGCTAAACTGAGTCAGCCTGTAACAGCTTCAAGCAGCAGTATGTGTGCAGGGACTAGGGGTTAGGGTTGTTTATCTGCTTGACAGATGCTGCAGAATAGCTTAATGCCGTTCTTAGAAGATCATTGAAAGAGGCAAGGACTTTCGCATTGTAAGGCTTCTAACAGTTGTCACCTGATAGGGGCCATCAGAATTTATTTTATAGGGGAGATATTGAGTCAGGTGATTTGCAGCCTTTTCACCAAAACACAGCTGCCTCCCTGATTAGCCATTTGATAATGCTAGTGTGTAGCCAGTCCTGGGCAGAGAGAATGGTAGCAAGTTCCCCCACCATTGCTCACATTTTTAAATGCCTCTGTGACAGTGAGATAGGACATGAGCAATGAGAGGGAGCACCCTCCCCCAGACCACCTGAACCGAAAAGGTGATCACAGAAAAGACAACTGGTAGAGCCACAGAGATATGAAAAAAATGGGAATTGTGTTAAGTGCTCTGCATTGAAGTATCTGATATGATTGAGTGACCTGTGGGAATGTAAGCATTTCAGAAAACATTAGTAGGTTTTCTTCCCTGCACATGTACATGCACACACACATGGGCACATACACATACACACACACACACACACGTAATTACATGGATGTTATGTTTCCCTTACCTTGAACAGGTTGCTACCAATAAGTGTCTATATTTAATCCTTGGCGACTCTATTCCAGAAGAGATAACGGGGACCAATGCTATGAAAGCTAATGCCCATTCTTGCTAAGGCAGGTCTTACATGCCTATCTGACTTATTATTTGTTAAAGATATATCCCCAACACTGATAGCTTCCTCCACAAATTAACTTCTATTCGAATTAAGAGAGCTGTTGAAAAAAATAGAAAAAGAAAAAAGAAGAAACAATTTACTTGTATAAGGCTTCCTATGAAAGCAAGTGTCACATTGAAATATATCGTATGAGTTTAAAATAGAAATATTTAGGCCTTTTTTTTTTCCAAATAATTACCAGGGCCTAATCAAGTCTTAGATTTACAAAAATAAATTGCTTGTCAGTGAGGCCTCAGGAAAAAAAGTAATCACACTCCTGCCCTACTGTTTATTTAAAGTTCAGTTTGCTGACTCTGCATCTTTGTATTTCTTCTTTTAAGCTTGAAGCTTTTTTAATATACAGCTAACAGAAAAAGCAATAAAGGAAATACAGCCATCTCAGCTCCATCACCCTCACTATTGTATTCTTCCTTTCACATCACTGGATGCTTTGGGATGCACAGGCTGGAGCTTCTCATCAACAGGAAGGCAGAGCATGCTTTCAATAGGTCTCCCAGACAACCTGTGATTTTCATTTTACTTGCCTTCCTCACACATGGGGAATCAGCCTGGCTCCAAAATCATCCTACAGTTCAGTTTCAAATAGCATACAAACAGTGATGGACAACAGATCATCGAAGCCAAAGCACTTCAAGTGAAGGATTAACAGAGTGAAAAACATACAGGAATAGTTTGCAAACAGAAACATACCTAAGATTGAAGGAGTGCCATGGAGTTTGCATAGGCTCCCACCAAAGACTGAATCCCATTGAGAGAGTTTATTCAGCCTAACCCAAAGGACAACCCTCCAACTGGAAAGAATCCCAGCAGAAATGTTTCAACGTTTAACAACTTTGAGTATCAGAAAAGTCTCCCCCACCTTCCCCTCCCCCCACTCAGGTTAGCCCTAGTGCCTCCAAGTTATGGCTTAACCTATTGATTTTTTTTTTCTTTTTGGCAGAAAACAACTGTATGTGGGTACTCTTCATT